GTTTTTTTTTTTGTGTTGTTGTTGTTGTTGCTTTTTGTAAGAATAGCTTTATTGCCCGCAAATCCCACAAAGGCCTCATGCCCTGGGGGCCCAAGCCACAGCCGCCAACCTGTCCCCTGGCTCCTGTAGCCTGGTCTTGTGGCTGCGCGCCCACCCTGGGCCTGGAGGCAAGGTCCTTTTTTGGAGTGTGCCAGGGTTGTCCATGAGCGTTCCTGTGTTTGTTGGGGAAAGCCTGTCTCGCTCGGCCACAAGTAATCAGGCACTGTGGCAGCCTCAAGATGAAGGCAGGTGGTGTAGAGTTGGGTCCCCACCTGCCCAGGCTCAGGGGCCACAGGGGTCTACACAGTCCTTTCTGCTTTGAAACACGTGGTAGATGCTGGTAGGAGGGAACATGGTGCCGGCACCAAGCAGGGAGCCCATCTGGATGGCCACACCAGCCGCCAGCAATGCCGGCCGACCCCCACCATGCAGCAGGGAGCTTGCAGCCACCTTCACGTATGAGAACACACAAAGACACAGCACCCACGACAGTACCTGCAAGGGGGGACACAGCAGCAGGCTGAGTGTGAATGCCTTTGCCCCAGGGAACACCCTCCTCCCCACTTCATGTCCCCACTTGCTCACCACAAGGACCACCCCTGCAGTGGTGCCCACCAGGGGTGGGCAGGGGCTCAGGATTGCCAGTACCATCAGGTAGGCCCCAAAGAGCATGCCCAGCAGAGAAAGACCAACCAGCCCTGCCAGGGACCTGTTGGGGATGAGCAGACTCAGGGCTGATTGTTCCGGGACCTGGGCCCCAACTGTAAGTTCCACCCGCCAAGCTTGGGGCCCCTTTTGCACCTGCACAGCACTCCCATGGCCAGGAAGCAGGCAAGGGGGTTGGCGGCACTGCCCAGCACCACAGCCAGGTGGTAGGCCAGGCGCCCATAAGGCAAACAGGAAAAGCTCTGCACGGCAGGCAGCACGCCATTGGTCAGGGCACTGGTGATGGCCAGCAGGCCCAGCAGGAAGGCACCATGGGCTGAGAACAGCTGATGGGCCTCAGGGTCTGGGCCAGGGATGGTGCCTGCTGCCTGGCTTGGTGGCTCCTGCAATGGCAAAGCCTCTTCTTCCTCCTTCTCTTCCTCCTCTGCTCCTGGGGATCCCAATGGAAGTTCAGGCCCTCCGCCCCCTGTGGTTACAGATGGTAGTGATGGCAACAGCAACAGGAGACCCTGGAAGGCGGCAGCCGAAGTGACCAGTAGGGCAGTCAGTGCCCAGTAGAAGGTGCTGGCAGGAAAACGCTCAGGGAAGTTGAGGGGAGGCCCAGAGGTGCCATTGGTGGGCGCTGGCGAGCACTCGAGGCGGCCTACACCCTGCACTAGGGCCAGCACACAGGGGAGCAGGGCACTGAGACCCTGACCCAGGAAGAAAGACCGTAAGAAAGGAGGTGGCAGGTGGCTCAGGAAGGGCAGGAAAGTGACATTAGAGGTACAGCAGGCCAGTGCCAACACTAAGGCCAGTGTTAGGAAGGCCACGGAGTGGAGTTGCCCTGCCACTGGGGCCACGTGGTGCCACAGAGGGGCCAGCAGGGCTGTGCCCACTACACTCAGCACCTGTACCACCTGGATGGGGACCCGCTCGCCCTTGCCCGGGGCCAGCCGCCTCCACAGAGTCACCACCAGCAGACCCAGGTTTCCCAGGGCCACAACCACAGAGAGGTATGAGGGGAGGCTCCAACCTGCAGGGAAGGAATGACGCCACGTCAGGAGCACAGTGGTTAAAGGACAAAGAGCTGCCACAGGCCACCTTTCTGGGCACACCTGCCCCATGCTTCCCTGTACCTCCCTCCCACTCACCCTCTGGAAGGTCTTTTACCACCACAGGCAGCTCCACCCAGATCCCGTTGACAGCAGCCCAGGAGCCCATGCCGAAAAGGGCCACCAGCAGGTGGGTCAGCACCAGATGGCCCAGCGTGGGTGCTGCCATTCAGCCCAAAGCTGGACCCTCCAGGACAGTGCAGAGATCACAGGCAGGTCCTTCCCAGGTAGGTCCAAAGATGCTTCGGCTCTTCTGGAAACTGAAGACCTTCTAGCTGGAAGGAAACCGACAGGCTGGCAGGTAATAGGCAGGTGGAACAGAACCGGAGTCAGAAGACAAGTCGGGCAGACTGCTAAGACCAGGGCAACTGGAGGGAGCAGTGGCCAGGCGCCGGCGGGGAAGAGGGGGGCCAGGACTTACCACGGGGCACGGGCTGCACGTGTGGATGCGGCACCCCAGCAGTGCCGGCAGGGAGAGAGGCAGGAAGCTGGCCCAAGGTGCAGCTGCCCCAGAGGAGCAAAGAGGGAGCTGATTTTCCTACCCACAGAGGACCGGAGGTCCCAGTTGTCAAAACAGCTCGGCACTGGCAGGGTGCGGTGGCTCACGCCTGTAATCGCAGCACTTTGGGAAGCTGAGGCAGGCTGATCGCCTGAGGTCAGGAGTTTGAGACCAGCCTGGCAAACATGGTGAAACCCGGTCTCCACTAAAAATACAATAATCAGCTGGGCGTGATGGCATGCACCTGCAATCCCAGCTACTCAAGAGGCTGAGGCAGGAGATTCACTTGAACCCGGAAGGCCGAGCTTTCAGTGAGCCAAGATCGCGCCACTGCATTCCAGCCTGGGCGACAGAACGAGACTCGGTCTCAAAAACAAAAAACAAAACAACACAAAACAGCAGCTCCGCACCAACACCCTCACCTTCAAATGGACTCCGGGACAAGGGGACCTCTCAGGTGCCACGCGCAACCCTAGCGCTTTTGCGACACTCAGGACTTGCCGAGGCAGGTCGGGTTGGAGAGGGGAGTGGCCGGGGCGGGCTTTGCCGGAGGGGCGTTCCGTTCTGCCCTCCCGCCTGTGTTAGGGGGGCGTCCCGGGAGCCGCCAGGTGCGCAGGGGTCCCCGCGCCTCCGGATGCAGCAGTCCCCGGAACCAGCAGCTGGCGGTCCCCCTGAGAGGGAGCCCCCTCCAACGGGGAGGCAGCCCAGCCCAGAGCCTGCACGGCTCGGATTTTGTTGTTTGTTATTTTAATTAATTAATTAATTTTGAGACAGGGTCTCGCTCTGTCACCCAGGCTGGGGCGCAGCGGTGGCGATCCCGGCTCACTACAGCCTCAACCTCGGAGGCTCAAGCGATCCTCCCACTTCAGCCTAACCCAGTCCCCCCACAAGTAAAGACTAGGTCTTGCTATGTTGCACAGGCTGGTCCCAAACTCCTGGGCTCAAGCAATCCTCCCACCTCGGCCTCCCAAAGTGTTGGGCTTATAGGCATGAACCACCATTCCCAGCCCAAATTTGTTCTTGCATGGGGTGAGAGGACTTAATGCAAATGATAGGATCTGTCATTGTTGTTTCAACACTAGGTGCCTCAAACCTTAGCTTCACCCTGAATTTTCAGAAAAGAGCAAGAGATGGCCATGGGGTGGGGGGCGCAGAGAATAACCAAGGGGACCGAAGGTCTAACTCACCAAAGTGCAGAATCCTCACCTGGAAGATCCCTGTGCTGCTTGGTAGATAGGCTACCTGGTACTCTACTGTGTCTACGAAGCCCTGAGGCTGTTACTTGCCAGCTCAGTTCACCATAACCTTATAGCACTGAATAGCACTTTTTTTTTTTTTTTTAGACAGAGTCTCACTCTGTGGCCCAGGCTGGAGTGCAGTGGTGCTATCTCAGCTCACTGCAACCTCCACTTCCCGGGCTTAAGCGATTCTCCTGCCTTAGCCTCCAGAGTAGCTGTGATTATAGGCGCCTGCCACCTTCCTAGGCTAATTTTTGTATTTATTTTATTTAATTTTAAGATATTATTATTATTATTATTATTGAGATGGAGTCCCACTCTGTTGCCCAGGCAACCTGGGATTACAGGTGTGCATCACCACCCCCAGCTAATTTTTGTATTTTTAGTAGAGACAGCGTTTCACCTTCTTGGTCAGGCTGGTCTTGAACTCCTGACCTCAGGAGATCCACCCACCTCAGCCTCCCAAAATGCTGGGATTACAGGCATAAGCCACCGCGCCTGGGCCTTCCTTTTCCAAATCTTCCGGCGCGCTCAAGCCTGTATACCAGCCTTTGGGAGACCGAGACCGGGCCGGTCACCGAGGTAGGAGATGAGACCTCCTGGCTAACACAATGAAACCCTGTCTCTACTAAATATACAAAAAAATTAGCGCGCGCCGAGGTGGCGGCGCTGTATCCCAGTACTGGAGGCTGAGCAGGAGAAGGGCGGGAACGGAGGCGGAGCTTGCATGGCCGAGGATCGCGCCACTGCACTCCGCCTGGGCGCGACAGAGGAGACTCTGCCTCAAAAAAAAAAAAAAAAAAAAAAAAAAAAAAACGCCAGGTGCGGTGGCTCAAGCCTGTAATCCAGCACTTTGGAGGCCGAGATCGGCGATCACGAGGTCA